ATAAATAAAACTCGTGTATCTTCATTATTTTTTACTTTATTAACATTAAATTAATATTTAATAATTAATGGGATGGATTAGCCTGCAAATCACTGCACATTTTCTCAAATTGAAGCTTTTCAATATTTCACGGCACCTCTGTAATTAGGCCGCGGCTCCCCGGGGCGCCGCGGCGCACAGTTTGGTAATCACTGCCAGAATTTATTTTGTTCTAACCCATAAACGTTGTGGTACTTCTTGCTTTGATTAGGTTCACTGTTGAACCTGACTGATCAACATTCCCAGCGCAAGGGTGAAGGGGGGTGAGAACGCCAGCGTGGAGTGTGGAGGTTTCTCATGAAAACCACGCAAAAGGGCACACCACACTACATTCAAATAAAAAAGAAAAAAATTGTGATAGTGAAAGCGTGATACAAGGATATAGGAAAGGCGAATAGCCCACATTTGGTCATAAGATCGGCTTTACTTGTCTCTTTGTCGAGTTGCATTATGGTGCTAAGACTGGCAAGACTCACTGACGATGCCGGCGAAACGTCTGGGAACGTACCACATCCGCATTCCGACTGGAAATTATCGTGCATACAATGGACTCCGGACTAGGTGAGTTCCTTTAAGTCTTCCTACCAATTTGACCAAGTTGCGAAAATAAGTTCAAAAAACTTCTCCAAATTTTATTCTTTAGTTCAGTCTAAATAACTCATGCAATTTGTTTTAGATATTGCTTATTCTCCTATCGTTATGTATTTGCGCCCTTTCTTTACATCTAAGGGCTACCGAACTTGATTCTGACGACCACATAGCATGGTATCACCTTGGAGTAGAACTGGCTATCCAGCGTCGACTTGACGAAGCTCTTGGCGCCTGCCAGCGGGCTCTCTATATTGAGCCCAGCCACACAAATACATTACGCCTTCTAGCATTACTCTACACGGCTTCACGCAACCATCTCCATACCTCGTCTTCGGCATCACTCACTTTCTCGCAGATGCATGGACACTCTCCAATTTCGGCGTCAACATCGACAGGTACAGCTCCTCTTCACCAAAACCAGCCTCAGCAGCAGAAACAATTCCCTTTACCGAGCACTCCAACAGGGCCGGCAGGCCCAGCAGCTGAAACAGGCGGATCCGATGCCCCAGGACCTGGAGGTCGTCCAGGATCAGCAGCGGCAGGAAATACTGATGTGTCGGTACTAGGAGGTGGAAGTAAAGTTACAACTTCGAGTGGAAAGGTGGGCGGTTTATCCGCCTGGTCTATAGGACGGGTAAGGTTATACTATTTTATGTTAGGCTAATGGTTCCTAATATTTTGTTAATATTCTTTGATTCCTTGGTATGGAATGTTGTGAGATTTTTTGTAAGTAGACTTCTCAATAGTCAAATTAAATTTTCATTACAATTACACTTTATGACTATGGTCGAATTATGCTACCGGTTGAGCCGCCTTATATGTGCTGAACTTTTGTGTTAGGCTGAATATTTTGGTTTGGTTTTAGTTCAATCAGCCTTCGGATTTAGAATATATGTTTCGTAGAAAGTCTATTTAATAAAATATTATTGGCACCCATTCCATCATATTCGGTCCTATTTGCAACGATAGTACTTTTTAATCGAAGCTCTGAGTAACAAGATAGTGGGGCTTTACGGAACAAGAGGGAGACTCTGATAGGACCTGAAGGAAGAGGAT